TAGAAATACCTCTTCAGTATTTTTTTTAAGATTTATTTATGAATGAAATGGAAAAATGCACAAAATTATGTAAAAATAAACTATTATATATTTTTAAAAAGATTTATTTATGCACAAACAACTGGGGTACAAGCCTGAGGCACAGAGGTGGTGAGATGATTCACCAGAGACAGAGTGGGGAGCAGAACAGGCAGACTGATGAAGTACACTGCGGCGCCACGTGGGTCACCTCTGCGGCTGAGGATTGAACTCGTACTGAAGCGGCTACAGCTAGCTTGCAGTATTGCGTCCCAACCCTTTGCACCACTAGGGAAGGCCCTTAAGTTCTTTTTTAAAATCAGGTTTTGGAATTCATCCCAAAATACAGCTGGCCAGGCGAGAGTCCCCAGAGAGAAGCAGCGGAGGCTATGCCCTGAGGGTCTCAAAAGCAGCAGCACACAAAGGGAACTGGAGTTTTGTAGGCTCTTAACATGGGACAGTCTCATCATAAGTCCAAGCCATGTATCAGCTAATAAATGGTGCTAACTTTATATCTCTGTCTGATGACAGAGACAAATAGTGGTAATTTGATGGTGACATCTTTATCCTCTCCATTTTGTTTCACAGGTTTACAGGAGGCATGTCCCTGGAGGTGCGTGTGGTCTCTAAAATCTATGCTTAGGTACCTCCCTGGTGGCACAAGGGGGTTAAAGCGCAGAGCTGTGAAGCTGTCGTTAGCTACTGCAGTGACCCACAGGGTGCAGCAGACCTCTCCTGTCCCACCCACTGCTCCCCTCAGCTGTGTGTTTCAGTCAATCTGTCTGTTCTGCTCCCCACTCTGAATCCTCTCAGCCCCCTCACACCCACAACTCTAGTCTGTACCCCAGTTCTTGTATGCATAAATAAATAAATCTTTTTGAAAAATCGTTGCTTAAAACTCACCGTTACTCATATGATACCAAATTAATGTTTGCAAGAGTATCTTCCAAGGGAACAGTGTTAGCCTCAGAACACCTAGATTTATGACAAAAGGAAACTATAATAGAAGCTTACAAGTGGCCTGGGTTCTGAGTTGAGTTGGTGTGTTTGGTGTAACTCCAAGTGACTCTCCAGGTGAACAGAGCTTGTTTTGTGCTGAGGGTCCTTGGCTTCCTAGGAAATTAGCCAGTTGCAGAATCACCTGGCAGGGAGGTTAGTAGGTGGGTGCATAAGCCTCTTCATCCTCTTGATTTTCACTTCCTAATTTGCAGCCTTCTGTGGCTCGGTTTATAGGAGTTTCAAAAGATGCCATTAGCTTGACTTGCAAAAGCTTACAAGGGGCTTTCGGGTAATGATGTGTCAGGTATGAACTCACAGCTAATCTGAAGGAAAATTTTTAGAGCAGGAAGGAGTCCGATTCAGAGGTGCTGACTTGTGAAACATGGTGGAAAGTGCGTTTCTAGCCAAAAGAGCCAAAATTCTAATTCCTTAATCATGCAAAGGAGAGGGGGTGATGACGAACACAAACCAAAAACAAGCTCAACAACAAGTCATTTACACACTGGCTCCACCCTTGCCACAGTGGCTCCCCCACATCAAAACTGGGGAAACATTTGCACACAGTGTTACGGGGAAGTGACTGGTGCCTGTGACTCTGTGACTCAACTCAGGGACAAAAGGTGAAAGAAAGTCAATAACTAGGAGTCACAGGCAGAGGAGACACAGTGGGAGGGGCAAAAGCAACACCGGCTGGAGTCGAATGCCCTGCTGACCGGTCAGAACAGTGAGCTGGCCATGAGCACAGGCTCCGTGAGAATTGCTGTATGTCCTCAGTTTGCCCTCAGGTGCACGGTGGCTCTATAAAGCATCTATCAAAGCAGCACTCTGGGGACATAATGACAACAGGCCACCCTCACTGAGCATATACCTCAGCCTTCCAGGCACTAGGGCTTCCAAACAACATACTCGGAACTGCAGTGATGGGCCACCTGTAGGTGATAGTCATGGAGCTCGTGGCTCAAGTCTTCACCAAGCACTGGCAGAGTGTGTCTCTGTGTCATGGGACTTAGGGACCTCCCCTGGAGGAGTCAGAGGTTTCCATTGGAATCATCTGACACATGTTACTCTGTCTGGGGTAGGTAGGGGCTCTCTGCTGATGCCTTCACTGGGAGACTGGTCACAAGTCCTATGCATGGTCTCTTCATCAGGTGGTGCAGGTTTCCTTGAAGCTTGGTAGCTGGGCTCCAAAGGTGAGTGACTGAAAGAGGGAGCCAGACTGAAGCTGTATCTTTAGTACTAGGGTACAGGCCAGAAGTACAGGGAGAAGATTCACCAGAGACAGAATAAGGAGCAGAACAGTCAGATGCACTGAAATACATCGCTGAGGGAAGCAGCGGGCAGGTCAGAAGAGGTCTGTTGTGCCACGTGGGTCAGCTCCCTGGCTGGGATTGAACTGCTGCAGTAGCTGCGGTCCATTTCATAGAGCTCTGCTTTAACACCTTGCACCACCAGGAGGGCAGGAGCTTTATCTCCTCTATGACCAATTTCAGAAAGTCACATCCATTCCACACTACTTCATTATCTGGACCAGAAGTCAAGAGGAGGGAACATCAGAAATAAGTGGAGGTCTTATCATAGTAATTAAACAGCAGTATGTATGTATGTATGTATGTATGTATGTATGTATGTATGTATGTATGTATGCAGGTAGGTAGGTCAAAAAATCATCTTAAGAAAAAATAGTCTATCACACCAAGAGAGGAAGAAAACAATGACTGCAAAGTAAAAACTGTTAAGCGTTGTTTGTAATTATTTTATGATGACCCAAAGAATAATACAATTGGACCATACTACTAACTGTACCATCTGATATAGAGAATGAATAACTGTCCAGTGATAGATGAAAGGGTAAAGATAGATGTAGAATGTCTGTGTGTACACGATACAACACTTGTATTTGTAACAACATGAACAGACTTGCAGGATATTCATCTAAGTGAAATCAGATGGAGAAAAAAACATGATTTCATTCATATGCAAAATGAGAAGAAACAAGGCAAAGAAACAATCAAAACAGAAGTTACCTCTTAGATTCAGGAAACTGGTAGTCTCTAGAGGGAAAGAGGATTGGGGGTTGATTGCATGGTGATGGGTGGACTTGGGGTAGAATCCAGATGTGGGATGACAATGCTGAACACCTGAAAATTGTATGATCTTGTAAACCAATTTAAGTCAGTAAAAAGTTATTTAAAAAATGGCATCTGAGCACTGTTTACTAAACCAGAATCATGGGGATGTCACATTCACTGTTGTAATATTGTTATCTGCACAATTGTTCACTTAAAGTTGATCCACCACATTTGACTCTGAATTTTTTAAAAGGGCTGGATGTTGCTACAGAAAATGAAGTTTATTTTTTGTCATTATTTACATGTCATTTTATAATATAACTTTTGATAAAATATAAGTAGCAGTTATTAGATGCTAATATATTACTTTCCAAGGTAGGTTCAGAGGTGAAAGGCAAGTTCTGTCAAGGAAGCATGTTAGTAGTGTTCGATGTTAAATCATGCTCACACGAAACTGAGCCTCTCTCCTTGCCTTAATCTGAAGGATTGAGAAAGGATGATCTCTGGTGAGAAATTCAGTGAAACTTAGAGCCATATTTTTTTAAGAATTGTATCCATGTTAGAATCGTCCTTTGGATGAATTTGAATATTTAGCAAGGAACTGAATATAGTATATACATGATTCTCAGTGGTGCACACCTAAAATTCATATAATGGTATAATGCAATATAATGCTAATAAATTGTATGGGCAGTAAAAATTCCAACTTTACTGGCAAATGATAATTTTTTTTAAAGATTTTTATTAATTCATATAGAACTGGGGTACAGGTCAGAGATGCGGAGGGTGCGAGGATTCACCAGAGACAGAGTGGGGAGCAGAACAGGCAGATC